TAATGTGGACTATGCCTAATCTATATGGGTCATCACTATGACAACTGAGCAAACTTCATTTACTGAGAAAGACTGTGATGTGATTAAGGTGCTTGCCCCACGGGAACGCATACGGCCGTTTGCGTTACTGTTTTGTGTCATATAGACCGTTCTGCCACACTAGGACGACCGAATATGGCAGTAAACAACTACGGTAACGATAACGGGTCCCAAGGTGGATAGAACGGCATACGCAGCGCTCTGGGGGGTCCAACGGCTCCGTGTGTAGGACCTATACGAACATTTTGTGATAATGATGACGCAATAGCCCCGCCTCCCCCCACCTCTGCTGCTCACGTGTCAAAGTAAACTGCACACTGAATTCAGATTATTTATCTTTCTCTCGATATGGACATAAACACGAGTGAAGTCTAATCTGACACGCAGCTCCACACAGCTGTGATGCAGCGGGAGGAGCAAAACACACACTTCAAGTCAGATCATCACCCTTAGCTATTTTAATTACCTCTCAAACTACCTAAACTAGTTATAAATATGTTTATTTTTTACTGTCGGCTGGGTCACTCATTACTGGATCAACTGCTGCATGAGACAGACACTGACGCTGTCAGAAGAGAGGAAAAAGAGAGGCCAGGCTCCGTGTATTTTATTATTATATATAGTCGTTATTCATTTGTTTTAAAGCTCAATAAATAACAAAGAAGACCTTTGACCGGCACTTTTATAATTTTGTCCGGAAGATTTAAACTTTAACACACGTTGACCGGCGAAAAACTCTGCCCGGTTCCCTCGGCCCCCACCACGGTGAATAAACAGAAGGGCAACCATGACAACCATGCTTCTTCGCTGCTTTTGTGGAGGAAGTTACAGCGCCACATACAGGCTCGGCATATGTACTGCAGCTTTTTCCAGCGGTTGGAGCTAAACGGAGCTGTCTCGTGTGAACAGACTCTATCCGGTGTCTATTGCGTGTGGACGGAAGCTTTTTTGCGATTGCGTTAAGCCTATGCATTTTGCCGTATGCGTTCCCGTGGGGAAAAACAATAGTGGACTTTTAGGTAATATTACGTTGTCAAAATACTGAGAATGAGCTTTTACTCCTGCAGTCTTTCAAGTAAAAGTTGTGGAGAGCTGAGATTATTTCACTGTTTGTAATGAGCTTCTTATATAGTTTGCTGTTTCCAAGCAGAGCTGAAAGTTAGCTGTTGACATGCAGTGACTGTGCACACATAGGCTACTCATCTCTGTAGGAAATGAAAGGATGTCTGGTGACTTGTTGACCATGCTAATCACAGTGTGAACTGTTGGATAAGTAAAGTCAGTCAACCACTGTGTGGCAGCCTCTTGGGATGGCAGGCTGCGTCAACACAGTGCCACCCTCAGTTTGGCAGCAGCCATCATGACACCTAAGGCTGGCCCTGATGCAGCCTGTGTGACTGCCTGCTTACTGCACTCTTCTTGCCAGCCAGTAATGAAGCTTAAATGCCTATGCAACCCCACCTCACTAAACACACACACACACACACACACACACACACACACACACACACACACACACACACACACACACACACACACACACACACACACACACAACCTTCTCACCCTTGTGGCACCAGGAGCACCCGTTGGCAGCGCCTCTGTTCACCAATGGCTTACACATTAAGGCATGAGCAGTGGGTGACAGCGGGCCAGATTGTTTTGTGAGCCGAATATCTCACACTTTCACACACACTTTAGCCCCACAATCTCCCTGCCTAATTGCATTATTGCTGCATTATTGCAGTGTGTGGAGGTCCATGGTCGAGAGGGCTCAATAAAGATATGAGTCCTGGGAAAGGCTGGGAGCGGTGTGAATGAAAAAAGAGGAAGAGGAAGGTAAAAAAGGAGGGGGATATAAAAAGAGAGATAAAAAGGGAGAGGATAAGATCAAGAGATGAGGCTTGGTGCAGGGACAGGGGGGGGGGCGGGGGTCACAGGTTAAAAAAAGTGTGAGAACTTGGAGAGACAGGGTGGGGTGTCCTAAATAAAAGATGTAAAATAATCAGGCTTGTTTGTTTTCCTGTCTGCAGGCCAGACAATTGTCATTGGCTTTTCATCAGTAAAGTATCTCTAAACACGTGTGATCAAAAGCCTTTACAACAGAGAGCCGTGTTCGCCGACAGTCAGCCTGCTTCCCACAGATTTCCTGTGGTAGAAGAGTTCACTCATAGCTACAGGTAACACTCCCGGGACCGATGGCAGCCAGGTGCGCGCGATAGACTCTTCGGGAAAGGGAGGGACCGACAGACTCGAGCCTCTGTGACTCAGTGCACCGGCGGAGACCTCTTGCAACATGAGCGTGAGAAAGTCGTTCAGGCGGAGAGCGTTTCAAAACCTACACTCTGTCTGCCTCACATCAATACATTTGTTTTGGAACTCTGTCAGTGCCATTGTGCGGGGAAAATGACTCAGGTGTGCAGGGCACAACAATGAGACATGTTAGTGATGTGTTTGACAGAGGCAGCGTTGTTGTGCAGAGAGAATACTGAGGATTATAGCGCTGGATTTCAGCGCATGTACAAACTAGATCCACTCCTGCCAAAATCAAAGTTTGCAATTACACACAAGACGCGTGTGTGGTTTCACTGTTGTCTCCACATGCCAGTTAATCATTCTGTCATTGCTGTGTAGTATAGAGCTTTGTTTAACCAGCTATTTAACAATATTTCATCCGTTTTTTGGCTGAATTCTGGATTATATGAAATCAGCAACAGTGGTAGCCACATGAGAATAAAACGTTTGAAGTGACAAAAAGTAAATTAATGCTTTGGCCTTCTGATAACATAATTCATTCTCGTCTACAGGCTGCTGGCACTGATGTCATACAGTTTGCAGACGTTGTAATTTACCGCAAGCACAGGCTTGGGAGAACTTAAAACCATCTCAGCGCCTGTGTTGTGTTCAGCGCTGGATCTGGAGCTCCCTGTTTTCCTATCAAATTCACGATCTTGCGGCCAGCCGCCGGCGACGCCCCGCAGATCCAGGCGGCAAGCCGGCGAGAGAGCGCCTTCCCCCGGTCGCCTGCGCGCCACGTGTCGCGGTCTCCGCAGCAGCTGGAGGTGTGTGAGCTCAGCGGAGAGCCGTGCTTTGAGCTTCTTAGAGAAAACAAGTAATGTATTTGTTGATAAGTATCTGATTTGCATTTCCTCTTCCATTACACATCTCCTCACATCGGCACAAGTGACAGTAAAAGAGTCCAGAATTGTCTTAATTTTATTCGGGGAGAAAAAGCCAAAAAGTAGTCAGGATATCTCCACAATGAGAAAGTAAACTGTTTTTTATTATAAACAAACTATGATAGGATTAAACATCAGGAACCTAATGACAGAGCTGGAATCAGTCACTTCTATTTTATTTTTTTGTAGCGAATTCGCCTGTTATTTCTTTTGGAAATGCAGTAGTTGGGTAATATAGAACACAAGGGTAATAGAGGAAGCAATATGATTATCACCTCGAGTACTGTTCAAACTTTAAATAGGCTACTCCCAAGAGTCCTTAACTCGGTGTATTACACAGCGGTTAATATCAACGAGCCGCTGTCCTTCGATAAACTTATAAGACGTATAATGAGCCTTGTTTATGTCACTTTTTACTGCTCTTCTGCTCTTGCGTCTCTCCAACTGCAATAAAGATAAGGAAACGAAATTATGACCTGAAATCTAAAGAAGCCTTGAACGTTGTGGGGCGACCATAGGCGGGGAGTAAAGGAGGAGGAGGCAGCGTCTGATCGTGTGAGCTCTCGGGCTCAGAAATATCTCTGCTCTGGCTCACATTCCGATAAGGGAGCCCGATCCAGCTCTCTCTGTAGGCGTGGTTTTCCCAGGCTTTTAAAACAGCAGCTGCTATTTACCTTCCCCTCTAATGTAAACCACCGCCGCCGCCACATACCCTCCCCTCCTCCCCCCACCACCACCCTCCTCCCCCCCCCACCACCACCCTCCTCCCCCCACCACCCTCCTCCCCCCACCACCCTCCTCCCTGGCCCGGCGGCCCCCCGGCAGTCCGGCGGCCAAACCTCCAACCACCACACTCATAAAACATTCTGGCACGTGCTCCACATTCACAACACCGAAAGATGATTAAATGCCAAAATGTGTACCACAAAGTTAGCAACTACAGTGGTAAATAGCATGGAATTGGAGTGTACACATTTCATTTTATTTCCTCCCCCGAGGGAGGGCTTAATGAATATAGAATAGTGTTCATGTTTAAGGATGTTTGTGTATCTGATTTTGTCTCATATTGAGGTTTTGAGTTGTCCTAACAAGTTGTTTCTTTCAATAATGTCAATGTAACGGTAGAGTTTGTGTGAAGTTTGGTAGAAAACAAAACTGCACCCTCCTGCCACATGACTGAAACTCTGATTGCATGATTGCCTACCACTTCCCACTGGTGGTTTTTAAACGGTACAGAAGTTTTACTTTCCGTTTTTCATTTAGGCCTACTATTAGTGTTACAAATAAATTAAGAACATCTTCTTCGTACAAAAGTTCGTGTAATACTTTGTATGTAGGGAAATAATCTAATTATAATCGGCTGAAGACCGAATATAAGTTGGTTTGGAGAGTAATTATTATTATTATTATGATTATTATTTTTATTATTATATGATTGGTGTTGAAAGTAGATTCGCAGCGTGTATTGCACTTATAATCCTTTTAATATATTCCTGCTCTTATCGCTTATCTGGGAGATAAAAGGGCCCCGTGCCCGCTCCTGGTGGCGGTGCCCAGTCAGCGGCTCCACTGTTAATATGTAAACGGTACGATGATTGAAGACTGAAGTTTCCCCGGCTGTGCCCTGAACCCGGGCCTCGCGCCATTGGCCGCCAGCTCCAGCGGCCAAACAACCAATGGGAGGGCGCCGACCACGAGCCGTCCTCCCTTGGGCCGCGTGTCCCTCGCCCTGATTGGTGGAAAGTTACTGTGGGAAAGAAAGTTTGGGAAGTTTCACACGAGCCGTTCGCGTGCAGTGCGAGATATAAATACAAGCCACACGCGGAGAGCCCAACAGACAGACTCTGCATCCGCTCGTGATAGTTGGTGGCTGCGCATCGCTCGCACGGATTTAACTTGATACATATCTCAGGATTTTTTGCGGGAGAGGCGACTTTTGAATATTGCAAGCTGAGCATATTCATCGCTTATTCCTACACCAGTGGATCGTAATTTGCTGTGGTTTTGTGGGATATTTCCGATAAGAAAATGCCTGCCGATATGATTGAAAAAAACTCATCCTCTCCGGTCGCAGCAACCCCGGCCAGCATGAATACAACTCCCGATAAACCCAAGACAGCCTCCGAACACAGAAAGGTTGGTACAGAGCTTTATTCAAAAGCATTTCTCCTTCTGTTTCATGAAACAAAAAGCGTGAAACATTTCATTTTAGACACCATTTCGGTCCTCATCCAAAGTGAGGATTTCACTTTTACGCACGAATCCAGAACAAGACAACTAATCTATAATGTCATTTATTTTGTATCTTTAGTCATCCAAGCCAATTATGGAAAAGAGGAGAAGAGCCAGAATCAACGAGAGCTTGGGGCAGCTGAAAACTCTCATCCTGGATGCGCTCAAAAAAGATGTAAGTACTCTCTTAGCGTCCTGGTTATTATTAGATTTCAAAACTGCCACTGACAAACGGTGAGAAAGTGAGAGCGTAATCCTAACCATGTGTGTTTTCCATCCCCTCAGAGCTCCAGACACTCTAAACTGGAGAAGGCGGACATCCTGGAGATGACTGTGAAGCATCTCCGGAACCTCCAGAGAGCTCAGATGACCGGTAAGTCGTATTTCCCGGACTAATCGGTCTCATTCTGGGCCAGACAACAATCTTGCTTCAAAACATCAGTCAACATTTTGCAGAAAAAACAACGTGTGCGTATCTTTACTTAAATATATCCGTGTTTTCTCTGCAGCTGCCCTCAACACCGACCCCACTGTTTTGGGAAAATATCGTGCCGGTTTCAGCGAGTGCACGAATGAAGTCACTCGGTTCCTGTCCACCTGCGAAGGTGTCAACACCGAGGTCAGGACGCGGCTCCTCGGTCACTTAGGCAGCTGCATGGGCCAGATCAACGCGATGAACTACCCCAGCCAGCATCAGCAGCACCAACACCAACTCCCCCCCACGGGCGGACCAACCCACCCCTCCTTTGGCCAGTCCATGGTGCAGATCCCCAACTCTCCCCAGCAAATCCTGCCCATGAACACGGTGTCCTGTAAAGGAGGCTCCTCGCCGGGCAATTTATCACCAGACGCCACCAAAGTGTACGGCGGTTTCCAGATCGTGCCTGCCAACGATGGACAGTTTGCATTCCTCATACCTAATGCGGCTTTTGCGCCAAACGGCCCTGTCATCCCCGTGTACGCAAACAACGTCGGCACGCCGGTCCCCGTCCCAGCTGCGGTGTCCCCCGGAGTCCCGTCGGGCAACACGGATTCAGTGTGGCGACCCTGGTGAAAAGTGGAAAGGACAAAAAAGACTCTAAAATGACACTTAATAGTTCTCTCTTTGTTGAATGTTAGAAAGTTGTTTTGAATTTTTTTTCTCGTTAAATGGAAAGAGTATGCACTATATTTGTACAGCTAACAAGGGAGTAAAGTTCATATTGAAATGAGAATTGTATTGTGGAAGTCCGTTCACTGCATTTTTTATATATATATTTGAGTTGTCTTTTTTTACTGTGTGATGCCAAAGATGTTCAATGCTCTTATAATGTTCTTCGTTTTGGAAGACAAATAAATTTGTAAAGATATGAAAAACAAGTGCTTGAGTTGTTTGTTGGGAAAACTAAACCTGATCTCCTTACCAATGCGTAGAGCTAAAGATTTCAAATGTTCCGCCTGCTAATGCAGTATGTTACTATAGTTTTGGTACTTAAACTTTTGCATAGTTAACTTGTCTGTGTGTAAAAGCAAAAATGAGTAAAATAATACATCCAAACTTTTAATTTAGTTATCCTTCTTTTATGTAAAATAGCCTTTGAGTAGGCTATAACACAGGAAATCAACAAGTGTAATTAAATTAATCTTTTAACACAAATAATCAGAAATAGGCAGAATTTAAGGTCAGCTTTATTATAAGGCTGCATTGTGCAAATATAAGAAAGGAATAACAGGCAGTTGTGAAAGACTGCCTTGCAGTAATGTTTACAGATCAATATCTGCCAAAAAAGTGTGTATCTGTTATTTATGCAGAGGTGTGCATATTTCTAAAGTGAGCAAAAACACTGATCAAGCTCACTATAAGTCTCACTCAACCAGACAGTCAGTAAATTGCTGGCTAATTGTAATTATATTATCTAAATAAGTTAGTCAGACAGGATACTGTGGCGCTGTCATTTACCAGTCAAAGGAGTTAGACCATGTTGTGCTGTTTCTCACAGTGATAATGCAGCAGTTTCACCTCCTTGTGGAAAAGTTGGAGTCTTGCAGAGGTCACTTACGCCATCTAGCAGCGAAGAGGTGCATTGCAGTATGATTGGTGTTGGTTAGCTCAATGAGTGGAGCATGAATGGCTGTTGTGGATGATTTAAGAAAAAGATCACAGATTTTTGCAAATTTAAGATATTTTTATAGAATAGGAAAATCAGCTGATTATTATTCTATAAGTCAGGACACAGGAACTTTTTATGGAGAGGCTTGAGGTTTCATCTTTGAGTTACATGAGCTTGTCAGAGCAGCTGGATGTGATGAAAACATGTCCTTTGAATCTTTCGTTTGCATGTTTTAAAACTATTCATTATGACATAAAGATGAGTGGCTATATTATCATTGCAAATGATGAACTGGTTCTTTCCACTCAAAAGAGTCCAAATCGGAAGTTACTTATTAAACTAACAATCCACCATCAATTTGAAGTGATCAAGCTTAAAAAGGCTAGACGACATCATTATGAGGATTTCTGCTGTTCAGTCAACTTTATAATGCCAACAGCATTAATCTCCTGACAGTATGGAGCGGAGAGGAGCCTCCGGCTGTGTCTTTAATCAGAGCTCAGGGAGTTCCTCCATGCCAGGGGATGAGGGGGGGGGGGGGGGTTGACAGCAGAAGGACATGTTAAACACCTCGCCACTGAGCCATGTGGTAGCGCTCTGCTCTGCCCAGGTGTGTGTGCCCCCTCCAGCTACCCGAGTGTGGCCCTTCTTTGAAGGGGGTGTGTGTGGGGAGGGGGTGCAGGTGTTTGCAATTATCAGTGCGCTAAGAGGCACAAAGTGTGGATAAGTGCCATCATTTTGAATTTCCATCACACCTTTTTACGGGGGGCCATGCATCCATGTTTGATTGAAGCCATGTGTGTGCTTGTGCCTGTGCGTGCATACGTCGTGTGTGTGTGTTTGTGCAGAGTGCTGGGTGAGGACATGCCTGGCCAAAGGGCACGATGGGTGAGGTAGTCGCGAGTTAAGTGGGGGGGCGGGGGGTTCAAGGAAAGGCCCACCACACGGGATAACAGTCAGCCTCCTGTGAGCCAAAGCTTCTTCACACAAACACACAGATACACAAAACGTTCCCACAGCATTCCAGCTGTGCTCGGACCAGTGTCGAGCTTCCTGCCCTGAGTCACGGGGCCACAGCTGGACGCGGGACGTCTGGGAGGCACGTGGTGTGACCTGGACAACACCCAGCTGCTGAGCCCTCCCACCCTACTCACAGCCTTTCCCCCTGTTTCGTCCCCCCACCAACATCTTCAGTGGTCTCTTCCCTCTGGAGAACAGCTTTACGAGCCTCTCCAATTACCCAGTGCAGTGGCCGAGCTGCCGGAATGACCGCACACATGTCACAACACGACCGGGGGGTTAGCTGCCATGCGTGTCCATTAACTTTTCCCACACTCCGCGTGCATGCAGAGAGCGAGAGGAGGGAAAAAAAGCCCCTCTGCTTCCTCCTTGGCTCCCTAAGTGCTACCATATGCTCAGCTCTGTCCCTCTCTCTCTCATGGTTCCTCTTTCTCTCTCTCTCTCTCTCTCTCTCCCTCTCTCTCTCGCCCCGTCACTGGGGCTGTCTTTGATTGCAGCCCAGACAAGCGAGAGCTTTATGATTTAAGCCCAGGGCTTGCTGTACCAAGCCCTGGACTCATTTTGAAGCCAAACTCCTCTCCCTCCCCTCCTCCCCCCCCATCCCCTTGCACCCCTCGCACCCCTCCCTCCTCCTGCAGTTGCAGGGGAAGGCTGTTTTCTGGCAGGAAATGAATAGCTCCCAGATGAGCGCAGGAACCTGAGAGGTCGTGAGAAAGAGGCGAACCCCCCTCCGCAGGCCCGGCCTGCTGCCAGCCGCCGGGGGAATGTGGGAGAGCGCCTCTCTGACACACGCATCAACCCCTCTGCCCTCCACCACACCGCCTGACTGACTGCCTGCCTCGGCGCTGGGCCCTGAGCCTGGAAATAGACTGATAGACATGGGCAACCGCCACCGAGCCAGGCAGCATGGAGAGTCAGCCAGCCAGGGAGAGGGAGAGTTGTGGGAGGGGAGAGAGAAGTGCTGGATCTGTGTGGGCGGAAGTGGATCAGTGTGTATATGCAGTCTGAATCCTGATCCAAGCATACAATACAATGGAAACTTAGATCAAGTTTACGTTAGACTCATGTTTGACCCTGACTGGGTATTTGTGCAAGTTTTGTACACAGACAGACACACGTATACACTCACTCAAATGCTTCCCTCCCTCTGTCCCACAGGCTTACACTCATTCCAGAGCATGCACTCACTCAGACAGGTGTTCCTTGTCAGGAGTAAAGGGTTTTTCCCTTTGGTTCCCTGTGTGTGCTGAACTAACATTTATTCCTCCTGAGGTTGACACTGTTATGGTTGGACGTGATCACAACTTTCGCTACAGCTGTCAAGGCGTATTTTAGGATCTTTGTTTAATCATTGTTCTGCATTAGTGTGGCATGTTGAGATCAACTAATTACAGAGTGAAGGCCAGACATTTTCTTTGCAAATGGCTCTACTGTATGTGCACATTATTCTGTAAATTGGCTCAGGTACATAACACCTTATGTAGAGTAGAGTTTATAATATTGTTGGCATTTTACCCCTTTAATGAAGTAATCTGTTTAATATATCCCTTGTAAAACAATTAGTTTGGAAATGGGGTTGTAGTTTAATCAAAAAGTAATTTGTCCTCCTCTAATTGTTTAACTTAAAGGTGTTCCACAGTGGGGAAGAGCTAAAGGAATTCAATGTTTTACAAATGGGAAACATTTTCAGAAAAGAATTGAGGACAAAGGAGTAGTGCTAAACATGCTAAATATATATGTACTGTATATCTTAGCATATTATTTTCTCACTATGTGTTCTCATAAGCTTGTAGCTGCAGACCAGCTCTTGAAACACTATAAGGTAGCTCTTCTGAGAAAAGCGGAATTTCACAGTTCAATTCGTCATTTTTTTATAGAAGATGGATTGTTGTTTCATGGTGATAAAATGCAGACATGTGCATTTACATGAAGCTAATAAACAGCAATTTACTACTTTGGCTCAATTTTCTATACAAGCTACTGGAGTCAGGGGGCTTGAAATGATGTGTCCGTGCTTGCAAAAGGGCACCTAGGTTGGACCCAACCTCCACTATTAGTATATTACTCATCAGAGTTTTTCTTCCTTCTCTCCCTAGTGACTCAGGACACATCATACTCCACATGGTGTACCCCGCTTATGCTTCAGTCTTCCTATCTTTCTCTCTCACACTCTTTCTTTGTCTCTCACACACTCAGTTTGTGCGGGGCTCCTATGGTAACCTGTGGGCCCAGTAAACAGGACAAGCTGTCTACACACAAATCCCAGCAGTGTGCGTGCCCACTTTCCTTGGCTCACCCTGCATGGCAACAAAAACCCCACCAGAGGCTCCCACCACCAGCCCATTCAAATGTCAGCCACCTTGTTTGAAGTTGCAGACTGCTATGTAAATCCACAGTGTTTCTCACCAGCACAGCCTCTGACACACACTCAAAACAAGAGCTCTAGCAAAGGTGGTCCTGTGACGCTGGATGATGGTTTCTTTTATATTCTCCAGCCTTTAGAAGTAGTCTTTTTTCATCCCTATAGCCCATCCTCCCAGTTTTGGTTCGTAAACATGTTTTTGAGAGGTGTTGGTGGATGGTGACTTGAGGAGAGCAGGACATGGCAACCATATGATGCCGTCAGTTATAAAGTTGGCACATCCCCCAAACTCTGGGCTGTGACAGTGATGACCCCATCACACTGCGCCATTGTAGGACCTGTCCTCCAGCTACTCTGGAACCCAAGGCCAATTGAGTGGGAGGGTTTCCCCCCTGAGAGACCATCACAACAAACAAATACACCAGGCAAACAAGTTCCCACCACACCAACGTCCAAACAACTGCCAACGGTGACAGTTTGGTTGGTTTTGATATCACACAAAGACGTCCTTCATGAGGCACTTCTGAGCCTCTTGCTTTTATCAGTCAAGTCCAAGTTTCCCAAATTGAGGGTAAGGCTCCCCTGAGAGTTTTCCCAAGAAAAAACCCTGGAAAGATTAGAATAAACAATAACTATGTATAATGTAAATTATTACATTATTTATTTATTATTTCTGGTGAATTATTCAACGTGTGCTCAGAAGGTTAAACATTGGTGGAGTGTTGTAATCTTGGCTCATTTTCTATGGCATTCGAACATGCTGTTTTCATATTGATTGGTTCTTGAGTATTCTTTAACATATATTTGTTATAACCTTATTGTAGTCATGGACTCTGCTTAACTAAATTATATGAAGATATTCATCCAATGACAGAGTAACGTCATTG